TTCGGGTACTTTTTAGGTTAGAAATTTTGCCATCTGAAAGAATTTTAAGGCCTACTAATGTCAACTGCGATCAGTATTAAGTACCATTTGTTGGCCTCTCCGCTCAATGGTAAGACGTTTGTTATAGAAATGAAGCCTTGTCGGTGAGGTTGGTTGGTTGGTTGAGGTACTGCAACGAACATAAACTTCTGGTCCTTTGACTTCAGTATTAACTGATAAAAGTTGAGGTGAAAGACATATTCATGGGCTAAACTTGCTATAAATGCCTCATCATAATTTTTTTTAAGGGCGGAATTGAAGTCGTTGCACGAAGGGTTTTACTGGGCCATTATCATGTTGTCACTGTTTGAATTCTTAGCCTCTTTCCAACGACTCAGGCTTGATTCGTGGTCGATAAAATCTCCAGATGATAGAAAAAGCTCTTGTTCTAAAAACGTCTGTCCCTCGGAAAACAACTACGAAACTCTGAGCGTTGATTGCTTGGTTTGTTAGAGTAGTTGGTCACCTTTTATCTTGACCATTTTGAAACCACAAACTCGCGTCACTCTATAGTCCCTTGCCAGTTTTGATGAACTTCATTATGTTACACAGAGACTACTCCCCAAAACATGCCCCCATTTTGCAAGCACCGGTCATTCAAAGAAAGTGTTCAACTGTCTTCTTTGAGACCGGATCCTTACAGCTACGGCACAACCTGTTGAAGGGTATGCCGATCCTTTGTCGTGGCCTGTGGAAACAGCCATGAGTTTCTATGTATTTTCTTTCAGAGGATTGAAGTTAAATGGGTCGTAGGTATTTAAGATCTGCCTTGCAGTCATGGGCGTAGCCTGGTAGGGGCAGGGGGATGGTCGAGCCTTCCCCCCCCCTAACTTTTAAATTTTCCTTATTTATTTATAAAAAAATCCCCTGAAAAGCCCGTTTAAAAGGGGGCGGCCCCCCCCCCCCCCCTAAATTTCATTCTGGCTACGCCGATGCTTGCAGTCCTATACGAAGCTGTAAAATTTCGTTTTATCTACTTTTGATATCTCTCGGGCGCTCATGCCCACTGCATTAGCCACATTTTATGCACAGCCGCACTTTGCTAATCCATCCACTATATTATTTGCGTTTATGTCTCTATGCCCTTTACCCGCCGAGTTTATTTCTGTTATGAAAAAGCTTTCCAAGAAAAAAAACCGGAAGCGGAAGTGAAAGCACTACTTCGGTTTGGTTGCAGATTAGCCCCTGGTCCTGTTACAGTCAGTTCAGAATTCCCTTGCAGCCTTTCAAGTCTGTATAATTGCCCATCTTTTTCGCCCATGTTTAAGTAAATGCAGACTAATTTCTCCTTTGATTGTTTCAAGGTGACAAACCGCTTCATTAACTGAAACACTGAGCATAATTCTGCTTTCCATTTCTTGGGCAGTTTAGATTTGCTATTTGGAGATCCATTGTTGCTTTATTTTTGTTCCCGACACAACTAACTAAGATTTTCAAGGCTTAGAGGATACCTATAACGTTATCTTAGAAGATGCTTGTGTCCTTTCTTAAATATAGAGACAGAGTTATGTAGAGTTTCTCGGAGGAAACTCCCACTCCTATACTACTATACTATACTATACTATACTATACTATTCAGTCCCTTCTCCATTCCCTTTTGAATGGAAATCGCACTTGTTAATTGCTGTTGAGGTCAATATTACCTACTAGAGAGTCTGTCTTTCCAAACTGCATTCGTTAATGATCAATTCGTGTTCGCAGTGTCTAGTTTAATAGACTACCGCCTGAGGTAGTTAAGTATGGGGCTTAGGGCTGCTGTTGAGCAGTATCTTATTCCTCCTCCAGTAACGCTGGCACTTCCTACTTTTTTTGCTTACTCAGACTCTGGATATACTAGAACGTTCTAGATATTTTTCCAGGCACAGAAGTTATATCAAATGAAAGCCAGTGATTCTCTTATTAACAAATTAAAATACTAAAAAAGACAAAATTTCAAAGCGTTACTGTACTTCAGTACAATACCGAAATACGCCAGAAGCAACAAGCTTTTGAGCGCAGTGTGGAAAACAAATTTTTGGACGACCCAAAGGAAAAAGGCAACCCAGAAGCAGAGAAAGGACATCAAGCTACAGAGACTGGCATGCTAAAGATTTTTTGATAGACGTTTTGTCAGAAAGTCAGTGTACATGGCTGAAAGCCAACGCAGTATCTACATAATAAAATGGGAGCAAGTTTAGGGCAAAATCCAGGTGCTTGCCAACGACAACTCTGGGAAAAAATAACAAAAGACATGGTAATATTATATGTCTGAACATATGTATATATGTACATGTGTATTTATGCATGTTTGTAGGCAGCTGTATACAAAGGAAATTTCGGCGCACGCGAAGGATATGGTGGCACTCGCATTTTTTCAGCTTTTGTTTAGTTTCTTTTTTTTTTGTATATTTTTTGTTTGTGCCAGGTAATCCCCACGTTAATGCCTGTTAGGCAGTACTTTATTTTTGTAAGTCTCTTGTTTTTTATGTTTTATTTTTTCATCGTTCGATTCTTTCAGCGAAATCTTGTTATACTTATTCGTACGTAGTAAAAATTATATCTTTTATGTTTGTTATTATTACATTCCTTTTGAAACTTTGCTGTTTTGCTGCTTTTACTTTACGCTGATTGTTATTGCTTTTGTTAGCCATTTTTTCTCTTCTTTCTAAAAAAAAATATAACAAATTTTACTGATCAACTCGGCATTACGCCAATGTAATTTTCAATAACACTCTTAAAGCAGTTTACGTTTTGTTCTTTATGGACGTTGTCTTTTCATTTCAAAAAGTACGCGCTGTGATTTGAGAATTGTGCCAATGAAAAAAAAAACACTAAAATTTACTTGGTAGCTTCGCGTTAAGCAACGTAAAGTGTTTATTGTAAATTGCGCCAAAGTTTGCACTGCAGTTGGGGCGTTAAGCCGTGCAAAGCTACTAACGCGCTAAGCTGATTTAATCCAGCGCATGTGTGGGAGAGGGTCAGAGGTGGATTTTCGCTTTTGAAGATTTGCGACTGAAGCACATTAGGTGAAGAAGAAACAGTGGAAACTCAATAATAAGCGTAAAATGTTTAAATAAAAATTTTACCAATTTAGATTTGGATTGAAAAAAAAAACATAGTTCCCCTTAGAGATGTATGTAAGTACATAGTATTCGAAGAATACTTAGTGGGATCTGTTTCTCGCCTAAAGCTACTATTTTTTTTGGTCTCAGAAATAGCTTTTAAACCACTTTGCATATATCATTAAGAAGATTTGTTCGTTTCCTCAAAAATATCTACCATAATAAAAAACATTTTCTCGTTAAAGCTTAGAGATTTAGCAAGCAATCGATTCTAAATATTAATACGTTGCTCAAATTTATTGTCTATCGCCGGCTTTGATAGGAATACGCCTAATTTGTACGAATTTTCTAAAATTTTTAAGCAGTTATTTTAAGGCTGGCTTTTTTATGTTTTCTTCAAACTGACGTCCATGTTGTCGTACGTCAATTTCGCGGCAGCAGCTAACTTTATCTCGTTCGGACGCTTGTCGAAAATTCACCACAATTTCCCGGCTGAAGCGGCTGTACGTCGCAAATGAACGTGTAGATCTGGTCAATCATAAGGCAACCCAATTTGAAGATTGGACAACTGGTCAACCAGCTCTTGTGCTTAAAATGAGGAAAAATTCCTGAAAACCTGCAACTTCAGCTCTTCGAGAGTTATTTTAGCCGAGAAAAGATATTACATTCTTCGGTGAATAGGGTCCTTAATTTGAAGGGTACACCAATAACCGAAAGCCAGCGCGAAGCTCAGGTGGCCAACGCGAAGACAAAATTCTTCAAAGCCATAGACTACGGCGGGAGAGTGGTCCCACCATTGAAGAAGGGGAGTTTCATCCGAATGCATATAGCTTCCCTATTATCAAACAGGGAATTGCATAGGGCATGCACGGCATCTGTTTAATTTTTCCTTGGTGTTATACGCTGAAGTTTTCTTGATGCTGTTGTCGAACAATGGCATTGATGACCTGTTCTCGAAAGCAAAGGATTTTCTCTCCGATCTAGGCAACTATCTTTACAAAGCGGCCAAATAGGTAAGGCTGTAGTTGGAAACTAACGTCAATGAAGTATCAACTGAAATTCTAAGGGTTACCTTCGGCAGGCCGCTGTTACTTTTCGGACGAAGATGGATTTTCAAACAACTTACAAAGCGGCAGCAAAGTCTTCAAAATTCTCACCGGTGGAACTTAGGTCAAAGCCAAAAAAAAAACGTTGTTTGCAACAAGAAGATCACTGGCCGGCCAGTAAAACTATGCAGAACCAGTTTGGTTGCGGCGAACTGGTAGTACACTTTAAACCAGCCATGCCCAAAATTTTCAAATACTATTTCGAAAAGATTCAGATTCACCTTCACTTCCCCAGGTATTTTGTTAAGAAGGGTACGAAATAAACTCCACCAGGCCATCGCTAATCGCCGACTGTGTGTGAACACCAAAAAGCGGTAGCTATATCGAACCTAGTTTTAAAGAAAAAAATAAAGTTGTTAAAAGTATGTTTTTTTAGACAAATTCGGACCATGAACATAACTAACAGTAATCATTATGTATAACAAAATTGTAAAAGGCCAATGTCTGTACATTATAGATTTTAAAGAAAAATTAGTATAGGGCTCTTTATTAGAGCAACAGAAACCAAATCGACAATTTATGGAATTTGGAAAGGGGTTTAAAAAGGCTTACAGCCGAACATATTTTTGTTGAAGGTTGGTCACCTGTTTGAAAATTTTAATACAATTTTATGGATAAGATAAATTGAATATTTCAATATGGATATCAAACTCATGAGAATTAGAAAAGATGACTGCCAAAAATATTCAAGTCGGTTGTGTTTTTGTTTAAAAATCTAAGTGTTTTAAAAATTATTACTTTTTTGATATATTTTGTTTCTGTACGTACATAAATAAATTTATTTTTTGTGCATAATTTTAACAATCTAACTTACCACTCAATTTATGACAGAGTTCTCCAATATTATATCTAAGCCAATTGCATTAGTTAGGTCGATATTACATTTTTTATTCTATTAAACTTTTTCTGAAAATTGTTTAGGTACCTATAAGATCTTTTTTCATTGCTAAGACGAAACTTTGTTAAAATCCTTTTTATATTTCAGTTATTCACCCATATTTTCTATGCTTTTCAGTTAAAACACAAATCTAAGTTTTCTCGCTTCAGTCAAAAATTCGATTTTACCTTTTTTTTTATCAAATTAAATTCAATTGCGCATCTTTTGTTTATTTACCGTATCAATATGTGTTATCATTTATATTTTCAATTTACCAGACATCGAACACATTTTCAATTGTTTTTATTTACTTTGTCAACTAATCAAACTGACCCATATTTTGGTGCATTGTCTTTATTTAGTATTTGTTTTAAACTGTTTTTCTTTAAACGAACACTATTTGGTATCTATTGACACGTACATACATATCCGCTCACTGAGTCAGTAAGCCGCGGGTGATACTCGTATTTCACTTTATCGAATTCTTTTTCAATTTTAATTCTTCAACAGTTTAGTTAACCTTTTCTTGGTTGCAGTGCTGCAAGTAAAAATGAAAATGAACGTTGTTTTTTGTCACACATTTTTCCAATCTTTTTTTTATCTTTTAAATGATTTTTTTATTGTTGTTTATGATTCTTCGATTTTACGCGCCTTTGTTTGTAGTCTGGCTTTTCATTATTTATTTATTTATGATATCGAAGCGCAAACATAATTAATTGTTTGATATCACTTATCGATGACTTGGTATAATTTTTATTTGCTTTTAAAGAAGAATTTCCGCTGTATAGTTAGCAGGAGAATTTTATGTAAAACGCCTTATTTGCTCTTAATATTACCCACTTTAATTTTTAAGCATAATTCATATCTCCATAATTTCAGTTGCCTTCAATATTCATGAAATTTGTATTTGCCTCATAAAAATATGTATTTATTTTCGTCACTTCCTTGCCACATTCACAAATCCAGATTCAAATGTACACACTCCGTTCGCTTCCCATTTTTCGCATGTGCACTACCATTTTGCCATATCTCTAATTGCCTCAGCTGTCATTAGCGCCAGCTCTTCTAAGATGCTTTTGTCACGCACGCATTTCTCGCTAAACACTCGCCCGTTCACCTCGCGCGTTCCACCCACAACAAATCGCACCAACCCCCCGCGCCGTGGTGGTGTGGCAGTCTTCAACAAATCACTTCAAATTTTACCGGCACTGCTCGTGTTCTCTACTGGCACGATGCCTTTCTCCCGAACAATTGCACTTTTCTCACTAGGAACAACTTTCCGATTGTAGAGTTCGCGGCAAACTGAATCAACAAATTGAGAAATGCGCCAAGTAAACCCACTGCACCAGCTGCCAGCTGCTTTTCCTTCAACAACCCTGCACAGCACAAGTTGTGGTTCGATGTTGGAGCGCCACTATTACTTGTTGTGTTTGTTTTCTGTTGGTTTTTTTTTACTTCTGCTTTTGCTTTTGAGTTTTCATTTGGGGTTCCGGTCAGTGTTGCCAGAGAAATTTCGATTTTCTTCTCATTGTGTAATTTTTGAATTCATTAAGCTAGATCCATGAATTTATAGTGCAGTCTGTATTTTTCCGTGGATACTAATGTTTATTTTTCCACTGAATTTCGAAATTTGTAATTTTATCAATGCTTAAGTTTTGACTTTCCTTTTCTACAATGGCCGCCTGAGAAAGAATACATCGTCTGCGCTTATCGGAGCTCGAATTACTGTGCCCTACATTACCCAAAATACTGGGTCTTCTTATTTTCAGAAAAAAAAATTCTAACGACCTTCGAAGCGTTTTAGCGGGCATCAAGCCATTTGGAAAAAGTTCTCTCTTTTATCTAGTAACCACAAACAAATTTTCAAGAAAATTAAAAATGATGTTTTTTGGGAAATTTTAGTCTTTTGATTTTTCCGAAAACAGCCGCCATTTTGTTAATTTTCAAAATTTTTCAAATTTTCAAGTACGCAAATCGCACCAAAATATTTCTACAATAAAAAAAACCGAATTGAAAAATATTGATTTAAAAAAAAAACTAGAAAGATTTGAAAAAAATTGTCAGCCGTTTTTCTCTAAAACCACACTTTGTCCTAAAATTTTCAGAGTTCGTAACTCAACGATTTTTTTGTATCTTGATTTGTCCTAAAAAGCCAGAGCTAGGAACTAAAGCCCAATTTTCAGAGCCAAATAGAAAAATAAAGAGCTCCAAAAGCACAAAAATGGCAACACTGGTTCCGGTGTGTATGGCACGCGACTGCAATAGTTTGATGAACTCTTGTTGCTTTTGTTGTGACCTTTAATTTGCGTTAATACACACATATTCATATTCTATGTGCGTTTGTGTGTCGTCGCTAATCGTTGTTCTGCCGGTCGTCGTGGGTGTTCGTTCGTTCGTTCTGTCATGCACACAGGTGGTGGTGGTGGTGGAGACTAGCGAACTCAGTTTAATTAATTCGGTGTTTAAAATTGGTT